AAATAAGCTCAAAACATGCAAGTTAAAAAGGTTGCGAACCAACTGATTATTTCTCATCGAAATAGAGTACCATGGCATTTTGCGCCCTTCTTCATAAGCATTTCCTCATTTTTTATTTCTTTTTCATTTTTTATAATTATCAACATTTTATTTTCAACATTTTTCCATTTTGAAGAGGATTCAAGCGTAAATGGCTTACCTCTTCTTTCTAGGTATGTTTATTTTTTTTTCCCTTGAGATCTTTTGTGACCTTTGCCTTACTTTTGTGAAAGGTCTTCTTCCAAAATTTGCCTCCTAGCTTAGAGAATGATCCTAGGTGGTTTTTTTTTCAAATGAATCATAACAGGCTAAAAAAAGGTAACAAATGGATAATTTTATTAATGTATGAAAGGTAAAAGAAAGACGGTCATTTCTCATCTCAAATATGAATACCTTTTTTGAAGAACATAAATTGATAAAAGATGAGCTTGTTAACAGATGTTGTTGAAAACAACTCGATTTTGCCAACCTTAACTCCTTTTGCTTCATTGATGTAATTTGATATGAATGAGTATTTAAAATTGAATCATAAATTATTAGCATCATTTTCTAAACATTCATTACTTGGAATTTGATAATGGGTAAAAAGAAAGATATGAAAAGATATACAAAAGCACAAAATAACAATTCAAATGAAAGTGGAAATGAAAATGAATCATTGCCATTTTATTGAAATGATAAAGGCAAAATGAAAGTCCAAAAGGTCCTTTGATGCTTGAAGGCATAAACATTTAGGCAATAACATTACTTTCAAAAAGATTCAAAAAAATGCAAGCAACCCTAGCTTTTCCCTATAACCATGCCTCAATGTGATCAGGTAGAAAATTCCCCACTACACTGACCTAGCTTTTTTTATTTAAGTTCAACAAGCCAGCCATGATTAAACTTTGCACCTTATGTTTGAAAGTAAGGTAACTTTTTATCGAATGGCCCATATTCCCACAATGACACTCACATTGGGCATTGATATCATACCAATTGAGGTAGAGAAGTTTCAATGAGTCTAAATAGACCGCTACAATAAGGTGGATCTCAACGAGTAGAGAAAATAACTTAATGTGAGATGTAAGAATTTCATCAACGCAAGCTCTATCTCGGTTGTTCCTTAGCCTTCTCTAATTACCCATAGGGTTGTTAAATTGAGATAAAGATGCATGAATGGGTGCTTGGTGAAGGCCTGGTTGAGATCTGGATTGTAGGATTGGTTAAAATGGGTAAGGATTTGTTGAGTAGAAAAAATGATAGACCAAGTGAGGGTAATACAAGGCAAATCTTCTAACCCGTTACTTCTAATAAATCACAGTTTAAACATCTCATTCATTCTTCTTGGATGATTTCTCTTTGTATGTGTCTCCCTCATCAAGCTTTCTATTCTGGATTGCATTCTCTAGTATTTCTCTTCAAAATAGAGTACCATGGCATGCAGCCCCATTCTTCATAAGTATTTCCTCATTTTTTATTTCCTTTTCATTTCTTATAATTATCAACTTTTTTTTTTGAACATTTTTCCTTTTTCAAGAGGATTCAAACATAAATGGCTTACTTCTTGTTTCTAGGTATTATTTTTTTTTTGCCCTTGAGATCTTTTGTGACCTCTACCTTACTTTTTGTGAAAGGTCTTCTTCCAAATTTTGCCTCCTGGCTTTGAGAGTGATCCTAGGTGATTTAGAGTGGTTTAGCGATCCACCAATAATTCAACAATAGTTTTTCTATGGTTCATAGGTGGTTCAATTGAACCAGACCAAGCTAGTCAATGAGAGCCAAAATGGGTCGAGTATGTGGACCCTGGATCCGGGTCAGGTCAAACATGGGTATTTTGGTGATTTCATTTTTCAATTTATAAATATCAAACTTTTTTTTCAATTCGTTTCACCTATTCTTAAAAAAAAACAAAATTTCTTTTCTAACAAAAATTTAAGATACTGGTCGCTCCCAAACTCGAAAACCAATGCCATTATCGGTTGAATCCCAACTTACACCTAAAAATACCCCTTTCCTTCCTTTTTCTACTTTTGCACTTGGTTTCGCCAAAACTTATCTTGAAATCCTCGATCTAAACCTAAAGCCGTCAATTTTAAAACCAAAATAGCTCCTCTATGTGACACCAAACACCACCAGTTTCTAGTATACTCTTATGCTAATCGAGTCTTTCCCTTAAAAAATTCAGTCCTTAAAATCCTTCCAAACACTCTAAAACTGAAACCTACTTCTCTTCTCGGTTTCGTTGATTTCATTTTTTTGGTTTATTTTTTATGGTTTTTTTTTCGTTGATGTTCCCCGTTCCCAAGGGAAGTGTTTAATTTATTATTATTATTTTTTTTTGGTGTTTGCTTATGCGTACAGGGTTGAGAAATGTAGTGGTTAATGAGGTGTTGGGTTTGTAGTGAATGCTGTGAATTGTGACTTGGGGATGGTGATGCTTAAAGGTCTTGGCAGAGTTGATTTTGATGCTATATGAGTGTTTTAATAAGGCTTTTAGTGTCCAAAAAAATGGCCTCATCCTACATTAAGATTACTTAGCCTTAAAAGCAGTTTGAGGATCATAGAGAAAACTGGGATGGCAGACCATAGTATGGAAAAGAAAAAGGTGTGGTTGGGTTATTGAGGTGCCTGCCAGTATGGCTTGGAGGGGACGGACGCTAGTGCCATGCACGGTACTATGCTTCGATAGCTATATTTTTTTTCTTATTTTTTCTTTTTATTTTAGATTTTCAGATAAAATTTTGTTAATTGATTAAAATTCAAACAAAATCAAACTATGCGTCTTAATTGGATTTCGATCTTGGGCTTATGGATTTTGAAATGGACTAAACCTTGACCCAATGTTTTGGATTTTATTTTTGGACCTTTCTAAATGGATTCATTTTGAAGTTAATTTCAGAGTCCTTGTCGAGTGATTCATAGCTCAAAAATTAATGTTACATCAGCTTGGTTAAAATTTCAATATAAATTTAAAAGCTGAATTAATTTAAAATATGAAATCATTAAGTCGGATAAAATTCAATGTTTACAATAATTAAATTATGTTCTTTTTTAATCATCTGATTAAGAATATATCATTGTAGTTATAAATATACAAATTTTAAATTTTGGAGGAAATTTTTTGTGGTACAATTATTTTGATTTTACAATAGATAACCTAAGCGTTCATCTTATTATTAGTTCAACTTAATTGGCTATTACTTTTTTTTTTTCCTTTAAAGAGATTTGTATTTTATTCGTGTTTGAAAAGCATATTATTTTACAATGTAATTTGAATGAAAAATTGGTTTAAACGTGAAATAAATTCAATTTTTTCATTCATTTGAATATTAATTAATTATTAGAAAAGATGATTTGTTGTTAACATAAAATTATGACCACTTTATTTTCGTAATAAAGATATCGAAGAACCTTAGTTTGTTAAAAGAAAAAAAAAAAAACTCAGCATAATATGGCTCACTGGAAATTGCTCATAAAAAAAAAATCATCTGAATTATTTTTGGTTCCGACCTAGCAACCAAAATGCACGTTTAGAAAAGAAAAAAAAATCGAAGTTTGTTTGTACCAAACACACGTGTTATAAATGACAATAAGCCGGTACAGCAACAAAGCCGATTCAACTAGTGACAGTTAAATAATTTTTATTATAAGAAATTAGCTTTTCCTGCAAAGGAGAACTTTTGGCGAGTTCGTCTGACAATGATTCTTTTCTCGTCTCAACATGTGAATAATTAAAGATTGAAACAAAATTGTTAATGTAGCTAAGACAAATTGAGGGTGGTGGAAATTATCCCGCCACTTGTAAATCATCGTGTTTCATTTTATCTACAACGTCTCCATTGTGGAAAGAAAGGGACCCATCAAGAAGGAAAGTCTTAATTTTAACAAGTTAGGCTAAAGGCAGGCTTAAAAGCTGGAAGAGGGAAAGTAGTTTAGTAGCTCCAGGAATGTCATATGTACGCCCCCTATATATCACTGATCCCGTTGAATATAATTTGAATTTTTTTTATCTAAAATAACTTGATTAACTGGCCCAATTGTCGCTTCTCTAGAAAGATCCGAACATAGGTAAAAATACTTTTTTAAATCATCGAATTAAGAATATATCATTATAATTATAAATATACAATTTTTAAAAATAATTTACTTTTTTATATAAATAAATATTCATTATTTATTTGGCTCTCATCTAATGAATACAAATGTAGTACTATATCTTATCAAATTAAAATTTTAGTGGGGCATAGGCTTTGAATTACTTTCTACTTCTTACTATGGTAGACAACCACGAGACCATTTCATTTATAATTTTTTTACTAAATTATTCCTACAAATATCTCATGATAATACACATGTATGTAAAAGTTTATCACTCATAAGTGTGGATTTTATATAATTTTTTATAAACCCGACACAATCTTAAAATATGATTAGTTAATTCTAATACAATGATTGTCAGTGACATGTTCCATGCATCCATTAAAATGATTTGATAAAAAAAAATTTTTGGCTTTAAGTTGCTTTGAGCCAAATACGAATTTAGTAAAAATATAGTAGAAAGGGTTGCAAAAGAAATTCAAAAAATTAATTTATATTTCAAACTTTATACTTAGTTTTAATTGATCCACTGGATATATGATAATGAATGAAGATAGTGAGGCTCGAGTTCTCATCTTAATTGTCTTCTTAAGCTTTTTTAGTGACGAGGCAAAAAAATGGACGAACTTTATATTTCATTCTCCTCATTTTCTTGATCCTTTTATCTTTCTTGGTGTCCAAAAATTATATCCTTCATTTTTTTTTAACATCTAGTATTCAAAATTAATTTTTATTTTTGAAAATTTATTCTTAAGTATTTCAATAAATTCTTATTCTCAAGGGACAGAAAATGTTTTACAGTTATCGTCTCCACCACAACAAAAATTAATTGATAATAAAATTATATATTCAGTAATTAGAAAATTTTTTTCCTATGCAAACAAAGTTATAAACCAGACAAGGGGTGTAATTCTTTATTGATATTTAAAATTTCCAAATGGGATGTACGATCCACAGGAAACCAAAATATTAGATTACAAACACATAAACACACTAATAGTCTATTGGCTGCCAAATTCACTCTAATAGTCTAAGAGTGCTAGTGCACAAGGCACTTTATTTACTTAGTTATTTTGACAGCCTATTACATCAGCCCTCAACACAGGCAGTTAAGCAGAACTTATTGCTGCCGAAAATTTTGGGAAATTTCCATCCGCAATTTCAACTACTGAGGTGCATCCTCCAACTGTACTGGCGCTCTTTTTGCTGGAATTGATCAGGGTATCAAAAACTCCAGGCCAACGATCGGTTGTAAAGGAGCCAGCTTCATCAATCAGAGTATAAGCCTGCATTGTACAGTTAATAATCATACATTACTTTAAATTTTCTTCGTTTTGAAATTTTTAAAAAACTAAGTAAAGTGCATGTTAATTTGGTAAAGACTTGAGAACATTATTATTATATACCTTGTTAGGAGAATTAGGCTGGTTGAACCAAGCTAAAAGTACATCATAGGCTTTTCCAGCGCTATTTGTAACGCTATACACAACAGCTGCCTGTGAACCATTTTCGTTTCCAACATGTTCAAAAGTACCTGTAGCAGAAGGCTGGATTTGAACTGGATAAGATTTGAGATCGCCAGATCCAACAGCTCCTTGCCAATCTTTGGAAATCTGATATACGATGGGTGAGCTAGTAATATTTTTAACACTACCATAGGTAGTGGCCTGTTGAGACATGTCAGCGAGCTATCGTTAATCTTCTTCCTAATAGGTGTTGTGTTTGTGCATGATCTGACTTAGCACATCTATCATCTATATATACTAGTTTGTTGTGTATAAAACGACAACCTTTCATTTATTACGTATGTAGCAACATTACATGTCTACAAATTGCCAAATAATATTTTTTCCCTTTTTCTATGAGTAAAAAAAATTGTTGGAAGAGACACATGTAAATCCTCTCGTTTATATTATGGTGACACTAAAATATCGTTTAAAGAGGTGTTGGGCTATGATAAAATGGCCATTAATTGTGCTGAATAAAGTTGTAAAAATGCTAGAATTGCATGTTTTGATATAATGACCCATTACTGATCTATCAAATTTATTTGGAAATTGAAGTATACTTACTGAAAATTGATAACTGAGGTAAAAATGCTAGGTCTATATCTCTCCTATCTATTTTTGAGGAAATTCCGTTTTTGTACATTTATTTTGATTTTACAATATTGATAATCCAAGTGTTCATCTTATTATTATTTCAATTTAATTGCCTATTATTTATTTTTTTTGTTTGAGAAATTTGCATTTTATTCGTAATTGAAAAGAAAAGCATGTTGATTTCCAATGTAATTTGAATGAAAAATTGATTTAAACGTTAAATAAATTAAACATTTTTCATCCATTTCAATATTAATTAATTGTTAGAAAAGATGATGCGTTGTTGGCAAGATTTAATGATTCTTTAATTGGAAAAATAAGATTAAAACATTTTTATTTTCGAAATAAAGATATCAAAAAAGCTTAGTTCGTAAAAATTAAAAGAAAATAAAATAAAATAAAAACTCAGCATAATATGGTTCACAGAAAATTGCTCATCAAATAAAAATCATGTCAACTAGTTTTGGTTCCGGCCTGCCTGCCAAAAATGCACGTTTAAAAAAGAAAAACAAATCAAAGTTTGTTCGTACCAAACACGCATGTGCTATGCAAGACAATAAGCCGGATTCAACTCGTGACAATTAATATATCTTTGGTCAGTGAATTCGTTGTTGACTTTCTTCCTTCCCTTTCCTTTCTTTGATGACATTTTCATTGAAAGATTGTCTTCCTCTCATTAATATTTGTTGGGAGTGATCTTAACATGATTTCTTTCAATTCAACTTAGGACGGTTATTTCAATTTAAGTATGTTTTAGGACGTTAATTATAGACATAGGAAAGATACCCTAAACTCGATGCGACTAGATTTTTTCAAGAATACCAACACCTCAATTCATCTAATTTAAATTAGAAATAGAATCAAACTTAAAATTCAATATGCAAATAATTTGAATATAAAACAACTAAATTTGAAATGATCGAACTTAGCAATTTTGAAATATTGATTTGAAATGATCTGAACATAAATTTAGTTTTTATTTTAAAAGAAATATTAATTATAAATATAACACAAACTATTATTCTACAAATGTTTAATGACTTTAAATGATCTTTTAAATATCTCTTTTTTTTTCATTTTTCATTATTTTTTATCCAAGACTTTTCTAATTATAAAATAATGAGAATTCAATTAATTTTAGAATGTCCTTAATAATATTAAATATATTCTAATTAAGTACATGTTAAATATTAAACTTATCTTTAGTTTAATTATATATTCACATAGAGATGAATGTTTTATGTTATTCCATTTAAAATAAATTTATTATTATTATTAGCAACGTATAAATCCGTAGACCTGTTGTTAGATATAAATTAAATAAGTCACCACTAATCTTTTTTTGTTAATGTGTGATTGATCACCTGACAGAATTAGTTCCATTCAAAGGTTACTCTCCATACTATCCTGCTGTGAATAACGCCTCATCCTACCCATACCAGCTAGCTCCACAACCATCTTATTCATCCATTTACCGCCTTAACATTCAAGCTCCTGTAAGAACTCAAATTCGTCCTACTAACCCAGCAAGTGGTTCACGAGAACAAAGAACTACTCGAGAAAAACCTATATTTGATCCAATCCCTATGACTTATACAGAGTTATATCGAGAACTCTATAATAGCCACTTGATTGCCCCCAGCCATGTGGAACCGCTTAAACCACCCTATCCAAAGTGGTATGATCCTACAGCTCGTTGTGACTACCATTATGGAATTACTAGCCATTCTACTGAAAATTGCACTGCTTTAAAGTATAAGGTGCAACGGTTGATCAATGATGGAATGGTAAGTTTTGATCAGGGAAAAGCAACAACACCTCATGTTAGCGTACTGAGTGAAAGTCAAGAACAGAAAGGATCTGGAGAGTCACAATGAATTGAGGGGCAAGATGTCAATGGGGATTTCTTCACCTGATCATTCAGGGAGCTAATTTTTAATGGAGATAAGGCGGGTTGAAGGTTTTTTGTCATTTTAAGATTTCTTTTCGAGTGATTGTTGGATTTCTTTGTGCAATATGACTTCACTTGTTATCATCTTAATAAGGGCAAGTTAATGCATTTCATTATATTTTCTCTTTCATTTGACCATTATTCCATGCCCTGTTATCTTTCATAACTTTACATCCCCATTCTTAAATTTCAGATGATGAATATTTAGATAATGATAACAATAATTCTGAGATTTAATTTTGAGAACTCATCCACATGAGGAGATGATTTGAACAAAAAGAAAAAACAGGGTAAGCCATTACCGGAGGTGAAAGAGATATGTCTTGAAGATGTGCAATCTTTTATACAGGATCATGAGCTTTGTTCAAAAGATGATGTTCAAGAAAGGTATTCACAATTGAGATGAAAAATGGCCATCTTTCTTTTACCATTTGAAAAACCATTTATTGTTACCCCTTTGAGCTTATCATTTTTTTTTGAAGAACCCCAACCAAGGATCACCCTCTACACTGGAGGGTAAATTTTGAAAAAAAAAAGAAAAAAAAAAACACCACAAAAAGTCTCAAAAATGGAAAGAGAAAGAAAAGTAAAAGAAAAATAAAAGCCACACATGACTTGGGGCAAAGTAATGAGAATCTTTTGTGTGAGGAAAGAAAAAGTAGTGAAACGATGTGGGGGCAAAATGCCAAGTTGTATCAAATGATCCTTTGGTTTTGAACCTTTTTAATACATGTTTTGAGCCTATTATATCCTTTTTTTTTATGACCCTTCACCTTGGCCTACATTACAACCTTGAAAAGTCCATTTGGATCAAATGTGAATACTCAACTTGAATGATCATAGGTTGAGCAAAGACATGCTCATGATGAAGCAATGGAATGATGCTACATGAAAGATATGGATGAAAAATGAGAAAAGAGAAAAAAGAAAAAAAAATGAAAAAAAAGGGAAAAAATGAAAAAATGAAAAAATAAAAAAAGAGATTCAAATTGAAAACCTGAAAGGGTGATTTTGGTACCAAAAAAAAAAAAAGATCCAGGTCAAATGGCTCACATGAATGAAAGATCAAAGACATCTGAAGATCCCTCAAAGACTGGGGCAGAGTTCGCCAAGCTCAAGATGACTTCAACAGTAAATGGAATGAGTTTTTGAAAAAGAATCCTAGATTAATGTTAAAAATTGTCTGAATATTCATCATTTGGACATACCATTCACCTCAATGACATCCAATTTATTTCCTTTCGCATTTATTTTCTACCAAAATAGATCTCCATTGATTATCTTTACCATAATTCACCTTCTGTTTTCTTATTGTTTCACCCCTAGAATGAATTGAGAAAATGCTTGATTGCATTATATTTGTCAAGAATTGAAATGATAATGAATGAATGAATGAATATGTGCTTAAAAGAGTCTTGCATTCATTTGAAAACAAATATGAGATGATGAAAAAATGGTAGAAACCTAAAAGAGATGATTTAGAAGGATGTATGATGTGACCAAATAGAGAATATGATGGGGCAAATCTTGAAAAGCGATACAACCAAGTGATGAGTACAAGGATGAATTGGTCGAATGGTGGGAACAATCAGTGGACAGAGTTTGTTTTGGAATGGTTGATTATAAGACAAAGACCAAATGATGGTGGATGAAATTTGTTGTGAAATTTGCTAGTGCTGAAAAATTCATTGAATGATGGTCAAGGGATGATCAATTGATGAAGCTTATTCCAAAGTATTGAGAAATTGAACAAGGAAAGAATGTGAGTGGAAAGGACAATTGAGAGCTACACTGGTTCGATCTTAGAAGAGCAGTGCAATTGGATCCTTGAGGAATCAAAGGGCTTGACACCCAAGAAAGAAAAAAAGAGCTTGAGAAACTTGAGTACCATACATTGAACAGGAATTAATTAGCCAACATTTGCATAGCATGCATTGAAAATCATGCACATTGCATAGCATACACTACTTTTAGGAAAGTATAGTGTATAAATTCAAGAAGCAGGGGTGTTTCAACATCCCACATGGAAAAGACAGATATGAAAAGACTTTGCAAGTTTGAGAAGAAACTTGTCAGGTAAGTTCCTAATCCTTGAAATAGGATGTCTCTTGGTATCAGGGTTGATTTATAAGACTTTTGGGCATAATCCCCTGAAATTCCTTCAAATACAACTTTCAACTCCTTCAGACATGATTGTCTAGGAGTATTTACTTTCAAAGTTCCGTTGCCTCTGTTTAGAGGAGCAATTTACTTTTCCAAAGTCGTGGTACCTCTGTTTAGAGGAGCAATTTACTTTTCAAAGTCGTGGTGCCTCTGTTTAGAGGAGCAATTTACTTTTCCAAAGTCGTGGTGCCTCTGTTTAGAGGAGCAATTTACTTTCCAAAGTCGTGGTGCCTCTGTTTAGAGGAGCAATTTACTTTTCAAAGTCGTGGTGCCTCTGTTTAGAGGAGCAATTTACTTTTCAAAGTCGTGGTGCCTCTGTTTAGAGGAGCAATTTATTTTCAAAGTCGTGGTGCCTCTGTTTAGAGGAGCAATTTACTTTTCAAAGTCGTGGTGCCTCTGTTTAGAGGAGCAATTTATGTTTCTTAAAGTCGTTGAGCCTCTATTTAGAGGAGCTTTGATAAAAAAAAAAACAAAAAAAAACAAAAAACAAAACACAAAAAAAATATATATACAAAAAACAAAAAATGACAATGTTGAGTTGAGTCTGGATTGGGTGTCTACGTCTTTGCGCAATTTATGTTTCACAGAAAATGTGCAAAGAGGGGCAGCTTTAGACACCTAATTGGGTCCAGGCCCAGATCAATTGGGCCTGGCCCAAATGAGTAAGGCCCAATTGAATTTTTATCCTGTATGTTTTTTTTTTCTTTCTCTCTTTTTTTCTCTTTTTTCTTTTTTGTATATCTGTATTTATTTATTTTTATTTAGAATATATTTATATGTATATAGTTACATATTATTATATTATTATTATTATTATTTATTATTATTATTATTTTTTTAATATATTTTTGGGTTTATCTTATTTTATTTTTTTAAATTATCTGTTAATTTTATCTGATTCTTTTTGATTATCTAATTGTTTTTTTTTTATTTATCCTATCTTTTCTAGATTATCTATTTTTTTTATTTATTTGATTTTGAAGGGCT